CAGCTCCTCAAGGGTAGTGACTGACTAATTTCTCTCTGAATCCGTAGCGTCTGGTATTTGGACATATTAGTGCACAATAGTGTTTGTTAAATGAATTAAATTACATTTATTCCATTAAATGAGCATTAAAAATGTTTTCCAACCAATTCAATTTATTAAGTCCTTGCTCTATGCCCTGCACCCTGTTACATACTGGCAAAACGAGTGAAAATAAATTAGATCAGACACTGCTCCTGCTGTGGAAGCTGCAGTCTGGTAGGGGCTAGCCACAAGGTGGGCATAGTTCTTTTTCCCAGAATCATCAAATCTGACTACATCCTCTCCAGCAAAAAGGACACAGGATAAACGCTTTCATTTACAAGGAGAAGAGCCATTCGCGGAAATCCCTTCATGACACTAATAAGTGCCACCATCCCTTTCTTTGAAAATTGTTTCCATTTCCACCGTGATAGTCATCTAATGAGGTGATCAGACTGAGCTCTTTTAAGGTGAGGCCAAACTGTCACTTTACTCGTGCCCATCGGAGTGAGCTGTGTTCTCCCTCCTCAACGAGCTCTCATATCCCTATTCACTGTTTGCACTGCAGCTAAACATCATGCAAGCATCTTCATTAAACTGTCCACAGTGATTCATAGATGCCTTCCTCCAGAGGTTACACATAATTCAATACCCATCAGCACACGGGGAACAGGCTGCTTAAATTGTTCCTTCCAGGATATGTTACCTTGTGTTGGCCCTCTCAGAATTTCATCTGCTACAGTGAGGTCCAATTACTCTGCCCAGCTGTGCCCTTCCAAAGTGCCTTGGCCCCTCCCTCTGCTGAATCGCTAAGAGGACTCTGCCCTCTGTGGGCATCAGTGGTGTGTCCACCCTGTGCAAAATGACTGCTTCCCTATGAGGTGAGACACTCTTGGAGGGGAAATCCACCATGCAGGGACCTGAGGTGGCAAACCAGGAAGCAGGCAAATAAGCAGTCAGCCCTCGATGGTCTGTGGTGCTAGAGGGAGAAGAGTCAGGGCATGGGCTGAAACCCACACTTCATTCACCTTGGCCTTGGGGAGCGCTGAGAATATTGTGCCCTTGAAAGCATTCTTGTGTTCTCCCTCCGAACCCTTCACACTTGCTTACTTCTGCTCTGGGCATGCTGGATGTGGCTGAGTCATGGGGAAGAGGATACCCTGGGCCACTGTGACCCAACTGCACAAATTAATTCACCACAAACTGTGTACCATCAGGACACCTCCATGTTGAAAAGTTGGTGGAGGCACAAGACAGAGACACCAAGAAGTCATTTTCATGCTTGCCTTTAGAAAGAGAAGAGGGGGCAGGACAGGGAGGTCAGGAACCATGCACAAACCAGGAGGGGGTTGGGGCAAGTTTGTTTGACTGGAGCCTGTGGAGGGAAGTGGATCAAAGGCCTTGGGGGAGGGTACTTGCTCCTGAGACTCCTGCTAGGAGATTCATTAGGCCGTGTGTTATCAGCCATGTTGTACTGGCTTATCAATGGTCAGATGATGCCTACCAAGCCTCTCTGCCCTCACCTCAGCCTCTGTCAGCCTTCTGCCCCCACCAACCTACAGCTCAGGCAGCTCCTGCTTCTTACCAGTGGCCATTACTAATCTAAGGAGCTAGCACTGAGGAACACTGAGGACTCTGGCCCTAGCACTATGGTAAGTATGTAACCTCTATCACCTCATTTAATTGTCACAGCTACCCCTTCAGTAAATGATTATCCTCATCCTACTGATGAAGAAACTGAAGCCTCAGAGAGATGAAGTCATTTTCTCAAGGTCATACAGCAAGTAACTGTCTAAGCCAGAGTTTGCTGTGGGTGGAGGAGGGGTTGCGGTGGTGGTGACCATGTACTGACTGTTGTGTCCAGGGAAAGTTCTCACCAGCTTTTTCAATCAGGGAGTGTCTCAGAAATACTTTTGGTTTTATGGAACATCTATAGTTTGTAGGGTCTACACCGGGAGGGTTTGCACCAGGAAGGTTGGGGTAGACACAAACTTCTGCTTTTGTTTCAAAAATATTTCAAAGTGACAGAAATAGCTCAGTCATCTTAGGACATGGGACACACCCCTCTTTTTCCAACTGCTTCACTGTGCTTAGGTTGATGGCAACATACTGCCTCCAAGAGATTCCAGCTGTGTGACTAATAATGAAGACAATAATAAAAGCTAACATTCATTAGGCACTTGTTATGTTTGGCTCTGTGCTGAGTGAAATAGAAAATTTGCTTTAGAAGAGGAAAGAGGCACAGAGAGGTTATGCCTTGCCCAAGGTCACAGAGCTGGTCAGTGGCAGAGCCAGGCTTTGGACTCAGACCCTACGGAGCCCTTTAATCTTTGTGCTCTACTGTCAGCTGTGTCCCAAGTTGGGTTAGTAAGACATCAGTCACCATGTATATATTGAAAACCCACCGTGCGCCAAGCAAGGGGAAGGAAGAGGAGCCTAGGACAGTGGTCTGGTGGTGGAGGACAGATGAGGGTCTCCGACCAGGGAGCACAGAACCAGGGTGATGGGACATTGGTGGAAGGCAATGATGTAACAGAGTGAGACAGGGACAGGGAAAGGAATTCAGAGTAGAAGGTTGAAAGAGGAAAGGGTTACCAAGAGCAAGACCTATCAGCTTTTGGTACCAATTTTGTTTAGGGCCATGTTGGGTTATTTGTTAGGGTGCCCACTGGGATTTATGATGGAGGCATTTAGACCAAGGAATAAGGAGGAGTCATTTCCAACCGCAGTTGGCTACGAAGGTATTGTGTGTGCGTGCATGCGTGTGTGTGTGTGTGTGTGTAAAGAAAAGGTGCGCAGTGCCAAATACTGAATATTTCTCATTTTTTCATTTTCCACTGTCACAACAGTGACAAAATGTCACCACATTTTGGGGCAGCTATTTTGGTCTGTTTTTGTCATTCCATATACATGCAGGGCCGCTATTAATTCCAAGGGCTTAAATGTTGCTTTAAATTGCTGTTCAATTTACAGAGGTGAGGTTTTGTCTTGCCTGTCCTCTCTTGCTTACCATTGCTCAGCTCATTCCCTTCGAATGAACTGCACTGTTTTTTATTCATAGTAGCACTCTGCTACTAGTTTGGTGATTTCCTCCTTGCAACATCCTCAAATGAGCGTTTACCAGTACTGGCAAGTTAATGCTGCTCCTGCAACTGGGATACATTCCTGTAACATGGGGGAGTCAAGTCACTTCTAACTTTTAATTTCTCTTAAAATGAGCTTGTAACTTCCTCCTATCCCCATTTGGATGCTTTTACAACTGACAGTGTTTTAACTTTATTACTTATAAAGACAACCATAGGAGACACATTTTTGGCTTGGAAATTCCAACTAGTTCAATGCCTGGCAATTTCCCCCCATGCAGACCTCCATAAGTATCTTTTACATTTGGATTTCTCCCCTCCTTTTAGAATATTGTCTTGGGGGCGCCTGGGTGGCTCAGTCGGTTAAGTGTCTGACTTCGGCTCAGGTCATGATCTCACAGTTCGTGAGTTTGAGCCCCGCGTCAGGCTCTGTGCTGACAGCTCAGAGCCTGGAGCCTGCTTTAGATTCTGTGTCTCCCTTTCTTTCTGCCCCTCCCTCACTCATGCTCTGTCTCTCAAAAATAAATAAACATTTTTAAAAAATTTAAAAAAGAGTATTGTTAAAACATTAAAAAAATTAAAAAAAAAAAAAAAAAGGGGCGCCTGGGTGGCTTAGTCGGTTAAGCGTCCGACTTTCGCTTAGGTCATGATCTCACGGTTCGTGGGTTCGAGCCCCGCGTCGGGCTCTGTGCTGACTGCCAGCTCAGAGCCTGGAGCCTGTTTCAGTCTGTGACTCCCTCTCTCTCTGACCCTCCCCTGCTCACGCTGTCTCTCTCTCTCTCCTAGAAATAAATAAAACATTAAAAAATTAAAAAAAAAATAAAATAAAAAAGAGTATTGTTTTGGACTGAGTGGGTCCTATGGACAAAGGAAATTTCTTTGGGTTCTTAAACTCCCTGTAGCCAGCTTGTGATGCAGCTGTTCAGGGCAGTGAAGGAACTATGTGGTTGGTATTAGTAACAATTTCAACTTTACTCCCATTTCTATTTTTAAAATAATTTTAAAAAGATTTTTTAATGTTTATTTTTGAGAGAGAGAGAGATGGAGTATGAGCAGGGGAGAGCCAGAGAGAGGGAGACACAGAATCCAAAGACTCCAGTTTCTGAGCTGTCAGCACAGAGCCCGGTGTGGGGTTTGAGCTCATGAACCATGAGCTCATGACTGGAGCCAAAGTCAGATGCTTAACCAACTAAGCCACCCAGGAGCTCCAGACTCCCATTTCTATTTCTGATTGAAAGATGAAATCACAAATCAAGTAGAACCACATCTTTACATTGAAAGAGCAATCCCATACTGCAAAAGCAGAAAAAAAATTTCGTTAAGGGTCAGGTGCACTTGTGTTTTATTCTCAGCTTATCAGGTATTTGACCTTGAGGTACTTTAACCTTTCTGGGCCTCAGTTTCCTCATCTATAAATGGAGATAATAATAAGCACCCATATGATAAAACTGTTCAAAGAATAAGATACAATCATGTACACACAAATACTGGTACATAGTACATGCTTAATAATTGTTAGGTATATTACTCTTGGAGTATCAACAAAGAGAATGCTGGGCTCCCATATCTCTGCCATTTGCCATAATTTCTTTTTCTAAAGTAGAGAGCAACTAGTGTGGGCTCTAGTCTAAAGCCATAGCTAAAACTATGGCCTTTTTCAGTGGTTGGTGTCGAAATGCAATGATTGATCTTTATTACTAGAAACGTAAACTGCCTGTTCAGTAACATTTCTCATTCATTAGCTGAAAACAATCTCTGCCAATCAGACATTTCTGACTATGGTATTGAACAGTCCTTAAAATAGAAGGGAAAGAAACATTAGGCCCAGTCTGTCTGGTAGTAAATATGTAACGCCACTTTAATTTGATATCAGCAAATGCCCTTGGAAATCAAACTCACCACACAGAATCCTTGGTGAGTTTGGAGTTCACATTCCCATCTTCTTCCAGGAAGATGTCCATTTGCAAATTGGCATCATTATCATGGGCTGAGAAATAATTGGTAACGACTCTTGCTGGTATCCCAAGGCATCGCAAAACTACAAGCAAGAAAGGACAGACTACAAGGAAACCCGTCACCAAAATTGAATAAATACGTAGTGAACAGTCCCCTCTCATAAGGGACTTCCTCCTTTACCAACAAGAAAAGTCCCTTTGTAGGTGTTGTCCTCAAATGTCCCTTACTGAAGAAGGAGGACAGTTGTCAAGCTTTAGGACTCCAGAGAGAAATCTTGCTGTGTGATCATTCAGAATAAGTGGAATAAAAGGAATAAGATCCCAATAACAGGGTTAAAATTGTTTAGTTGCTAATCCTACAATCATTGAAGTCATATTATTTTAGTTCATCTACTGGGACTATGTTGCTGAAAAAATATATTTTTTTAAACTCAGCTAATAGGAAGCTATAAAAGAGGTCCTTAGTGATGTTAGCTCTCCTGGCTGGAATTTGCTCTTGTGACACTTGGTGGAGGGCGACACTACAGATTCATTTTAATTGCTAGATAATAAATTACCTGGATGCATCTCTTGCCATATGTACCTATTGATTAAACTCAATCCAAATCCCCTCCCTGGCTCCCAGGATGCCAGACATCAGGGCTCATTGAAAATAATTCAGCCGACAATTTTAAGATTAATGACTCGGCTCGCCTTTTTTTCTCCCTTCAGAATAGGTTAGCATTTTTAACCAAAGATTATCCACCGCCTTCAATAGAACAACCTTGGAAGTCCAAACTTAAGTCTGGTAGCAATCAAGTGTCCCCATTTATGCACTTAATCTTATTACCCTAAACAAAAATGATTGCAGCTACCACCTGCTTCCCACTTCCATCTTCCTCTATTGATTCACAGACCCTATTTACGGCACTGTTTTATCAGTAATATGATTGGCACCCTAGTTCTATTTCTGGCTGACCACTAATTCCCAGAATGAGACTTGTTCCAGAGTCTGCTAAACTCATGTTAAAACAGGTGAAACCTGATACTGGGGCGCCAGTACTGCCTTCCTCCTAACTTCCCTCTTGGGGGTTATTCTTACTGTGACTTCCTCACATTGTACTTCTGCCATTTCTTAGCTTAACATCAAAGACTGTTTTCAGGAAAGACCTGATGACTCTTTCATACAAAAGGCATAAATGGATGGAAGCTGTTCACTATTATATCTGGTTCTAAGCCTGACAGAATTACATTGGGATAGTGAAATTGTAGGCAGCAGGAAGACACAAAGGAGACAGGGTCCTTTCTATTTTCTTGGAGGCATTTCCTATGAGTGGCTACTCCCATTGGGCACCCTCCACATGGTCTGGGTTTGGGAACAGTGAGGGAGGGGAGCTACTTCTAATTGTTAGCCCATCATGAAGTTCGGCTTCTGTCTAGTACATAAGAGGCCAGCACTTCTAGGAACCTGATACACTGGCCTCTATTTGCAGGAAATATATTCTTTTAGCCCTTAGGTATACTCAAATGACTAAGAAAATAAACTTACCCAGTTGAATGCCATAGAAAACCAAACCACAAAACACAAAACTCACAGTTTCTTCCCTCTTGGATATCACTGACTAATCTTGGACTACTGCAACTTTGAGCTAAAACTGTGAGGCTTCATGATCATTTATAAAAAATGGCTTCATCCTGGCTTCCAGCCTCCAGCCCCTCCTTGGTTTTTTTGATTAAAACGAAAAATGCTAAATAGGTAAAAAAAAATTCTTTATTAATGAGCAAGCAGCAAGGACACTCCAACTTGAGCTTAATATTTTCTCCAAGGCTGTAGAAATGGCAAGTGAATGGAAATCATTACCAATGATGAAGACATAGTGAGATAAATGTATTTTTAAAAATATTCACTGAATTAACAATAATGTTGTCCAGATCTAGACAAGCAAATGCCATTTCAAAAAATGATGCATGAGGCTAAGGAGAATAATTCTGTTCTCATATGTTTTCCCCTATAGATTAGATGTTGGGTGGATTAAAAACTAGAAGGGAAACTGGGGAGTAAAGATTGTTCATTGACTTCTGATAGCTAATTGCTCAGGGACATTGAGATTCATATGTAAAAATGGAGATGGGACCACCTGTCACAATCCCTTCACAGTTATGTAAAACTTAAGTGCATATATTTATAAAACTTCTCAGTGATAAACAATAGGAGGCTAATAAGCATATTTATAACATTTTTCAATGTTGAATAAACAGTATATATATTTTATTATTTATAATTTAAAATTTTGTTAATTTAGTCTTTTTAAAACGTGGTGGGGAGTTTACTGAAAATAAAATGGCATATCTTTTCCCTCACAAAATTTCTTTCCCCCGGGCCCCTCCCCCTCATTTCTCTGGGTGTTGAGTGATGGATTATGTAGGAAATAGTCCATCATCCTTTCTATAAAGATTCTGCAGTCAAAGAGAAACTATGAGCATATTCGTCCCAGTACAATTTAATTATGCATTGACTGCATCCCAGAATAGCCATCCATAAATTCTAGAGAGATAACAGGGGTTGCTAGGTCTCTTTGCCAGTTTATAGATAAAATGTCTTGAAGTAAAATTCCCTTTGCATTAAAAAAATGTTACTCAGTTGGTTACTTACATGTGTTAAAGACACCAGCAAAAACCCAGCATTGACCATACCGGACTGGATTCTTAGTACTCTGGTATTCCAACAGAATGTCAACACTACCGGTCCAGGCTGATGGGGGAACACCATAGGCATAGATGTTGTCCCAGGATCCAACAAGGACACCTTCATCATCTTTGGCATTAACCTAAATGAGACCATGAGTGTTAAGAAGTAGGAAGGAACATTTAGAAGAAGTCTCTCCAGACTCCGACATCAAGCAAGCTAAGGTATCCAGTGCCTTCCAAATGTCCTGCATGAAAAAAACAATTCCACTACTGTTCCATTCACTGTAGTGTCATCAGGGAAAGTGACACAATAACTGTGCAAGAGAAAACCAAAATAAACAAGGCTGCCTCTCAAATAACATATTATCGTAGTTAAGGTGGTATTGAATAGCAGCTAGGAAGAGTTATAATGTCTTCTCCACATGCTTAGGAATAGGTATGCCTGGAACACTTGATCTGGTTGGAGTAGTGAGGAAGAAAGAAAGAATACCCACCAAAGAAGATAGCTCAAACAGGGATCAAAGAGGAACCTTGCCTTTGTGGAAGAATAATTTGAAACTGACACATGACAAAAGATGTATAGGGTGAGTGGGAACTCAAAGTCTCATGGTCTAGTGGCTTTTGACTTTGATGATAAGTTGTAGACTCTAATGAACTAAAAAAGTAAACAGATGTCATAGGAACCCTTAAGAGTTATTAAGACATTTAATTCCCATGAATACAGGAAGGGTCTGGGTTATTATAGTGTAAGTATGGGGGAGACTTAAGAATGGCAGTCTTGAATATTTGGGAAACTCTTACTGCACATTTTGGGAAACTCTTACTGCACATTCAGACCAAGGTCTTCTGGTAGCAGAAGACCTACAGAGAAGGAACAAAGATATTTTGTGTTTGGACATTAAAAAGGTTAAGTAGTAACCCTTTCATGGCATCGGTTTTTTGGGGGACACTATTGAATCTTACTTCTCTTGGTGTTACTTTCATCATGTTTAATTATAGTTAGGAGATACTCTATGTAAGGAGCAGAGGGAGCTTTTCTAAAAACTGCTAACACTTCAACAATGGTTTTATGTTGACATGACAGGGGGTTAGAGCCTTGATCCTCAAAGCATTGTCTGTGGATCAGCAGCAGTGTCACCCCCTGGGAGCTTGTTAGGAATGCAGAATCTCAGTCCCTGCACAGACCTACTGAATCAGAGTCTGCATTTTAACAAAATCCTGGGGTGATTTAAGTGCACATTAGCTTGAGAAGATTAGGTTTAGACTATGCCAAGAAGAAATTAGTTAGCAATGTGAAATGTATGATTGAAGCAGGTGTGTTTGGATTATAAAAGCCATAGAAGATACATTAAAATATGGTGACTTTACATGTTCACTGCCTTGCCAATTAACAGCTCCAACCTCAGCACTTGCCCAGACCCCTCTCTTAGGCTTGCTGAGTTTTGTTGTATAGGAGTCTATTTTCCCCACTGGGTCATGAGTTCATAGGAAATAGAGATTTTTAAAAAATCTATGTCTTTTTCACTTTTAGCAAAGATTGGCAAAGAGCAGGTGCTCGATAGTGGTTGAATAATAGCTCATATATTCAATAAGAATATAGGAATTGTATATATGAATAGGAATAAGACCTTCTCCCAGGAGAGAGATGAACAAGAAACCAATTAAGTGGAAGTAAAGTTTACCAATGTCAAGACAGAAAGATGTACAAGTAAGGTGGAGGCCCAAAGGAGGTAGGAGTCAGTTTCAACAGGTTGGAAGGTGGTGGTGGTGGTGGGTTGAATAGAAGAAATTACATGAAAGCTAGGTCTTGAGGGGCTGAGAGCCAGACAAGATCATCTACATAGTGGAAACAGTTTGAATAAATGCTTAGTGACATAAAACAATATGGCAGGTTCAGGGACCTGTTAGGAGCTCTGCATGGGTATCATGTAAATAGACTATAGTGGATGAAATAAATATAAGATATCAGAAGAAAACAGTTAAAATGTGCAAGCACCTTCTACTTTGAATGACAAAACTTCCACTGAAATATGAGATTTACTCTAGCACTGAGAGGCATTTCCCAAAGAGGGTCCCTCTGTAAAGTATTCTCTAGATCATCATTTAATTTGATTTAGAGAAACTAGTTCCCCTCCTTGATTCTATCTGGTCAGGTTAAAATAACTACTTGTTGATTTATTTAATGGAGAAAAAAAATAATTCTTTCAAGATTTCTGAAGGACCTTCTTCAGCTAATTGCAAACTCATGCCTTTGATGTAAACTTTGACTTTATCATGTAACTCTATGAGATGACTGGGGTGCAACTGGGTTCAGTCAACCATTTTGGCTCTATTAAAGATAAATACTTCTTGCAGTTGAATTGATTATTTATTTATTTTTAATGTTTTTTTTTTTTCCCAGTGTTTTATTTATTTCTAGGAGAGAGAGACAGCGTGAGCAGGGGAGGGTCAGAGAGAGAGGGAGACACAGAATCTGAAACAGGCTCCAGGCTCTGAGCTAGCTGAGAGCACAGAGTCCGATGCGGGGCTCGAACCACAAACCGCGAGATCGTGACCTAAGCGAAAGTCGGACACTTAACCGACTAAGCCACCTAGGCGCCCCTGAATTGATTATTTAAAAACCTGTATCTGTTATAATGAAGCCTGAAGAGTGCCTTAGTAGGCTATAATGTAGTTTAGTCTTTGTGAATAGGCAGTCTCAGGTTTAACTCACATTACCATTTCCTTATCCTTATCATTGAGAAATAGAATAGAGCCTATGAATCTTAGAGGGAAAAAAAAGTTTCTAAATTATGGTTCTGATGACTGATTTCTAAACAGATAGCCATTAACTAGGAGGACTATTTATAGCATTTGGCTGAACCCAGTCAGCTAAGGGTAAGGGAAAAAAATAAAAAGCTCTCTTCTCTACAGATCTTTTAATTGTTAATGCTGAGCTGTTTCCCTGTTGCTAGATAAATCACAACTCTCACTTATTAGCATTTAGTTGGATTAGCTACTGTTTTCTAATTAGAACATTGATTTCTGAGGAGCCTAGATACTGAAAGAGGTCTTTGGTAACACATGAAAAGGGTTAAAGTAATATCTCCTTCTCTGACAGCAAGATATATTTGGGGGGATACTTCAAGGGCATGCTGGTCCTTTTTCATACCACAGCTGACTGTTTCAATACCGTCATGAACTGAGAGTTTGACCAGTGTCAGAGTAAAATGTCTTGGACTTGTATCACTGGTTGTCTAGGAGACAATATGAGCCCAGGACTTTGGACAGGGAGTGTTATTCAACTACAATAAGGTTGCACTAAATTGTCATCCTGTAATACCTATAATATGGGAAAAGTGAAAAACCAGCCCCTTAAAAGTCATTATCAGCAATCCAGTGGCATAACATAATTCAGCAAACTTCAAAACCTGGTTCCAAGAAAAATTGAGGAATATAGATTGGACTAGAGAAGCAGTATGGCTCAGCACCTGACACCTACCACCATTTTCTCAGAAGCCCTACTGTCAAGTCCACAATATCCTGAGACTTTCAGCTATATTTCTGAATCTGGAAAGAAACTAACCAAATTAAAATGCTAATCTTTTTCTTGTTCTGACCAGAACAGTAGAAACAACTGCTATTGGAGAAATGGGCGAGAAAGGGTCTGCACCTCTAAAGAGGGAGACATTCGGGGACTAGAGTTGGGAGATTACATAGAGTCTGAGAGTTACCCTGCCCCCCATGAGATACATCTCCAATTAGATGAGGTGGATTCCAGATGAGAAATTTAACAGAACCTTAAAAGAAAGAGCAGAACCCCAGTATTCTAACAGACACTGCCATCTTTTCAGCTCCCCTCCCCCTTCCAGGCTTTCTCAGAATACTGAGGAGTAGATTGAATGAAAAACATTGGCCTCAAACTGTAGTTCAGAGGAAAACTTCAACTAGTCTTAGATTGGGAAGTGCCAACATTTCACCTACACTATATCAGAGCAAACAGGACAATTGGAGAAAAGTATGCAAGTATGAGCATAAATAAAAAGAAAAGAAGCAGTGAAAAAGGAGGGAGGTGAGAGGGAGAGAAGGAAGGAGAGAGGGGGAGAGAGGGGGAGGGAGGGAGGGAGGGAGGGAGGGAGGAGAGACAGAAGGAGAGAGAGAGGAGGAGAGGGAAGAAGAGAGAGGGAGAGAAAGAGGGAAAGGGAGAGAGGGAGACAGAAGGAGAGAGGAAGGAAAAGAGGAAGAGAGGGAGAGGGAGGGAGACAGTGGGAGAAGGGAAGAGATAGAGAGATGGGAGGGAGAGACCAAGACAGAGAGAGGGAGGGAGGGAGATAGAAAAAGGGGGAGAGAGGGAGGGATATAAAGAGAGGAGGAGGGAGGGAGGGAAAGAGAGAAAGAAGGAGATAGGGAGGGAGGGATAAAAAGAGAGGAAGAGAGGGAAAGAGGGAGAAGGAAGGAAAGAGGGAAGGAGGGAGAAATACAGGAAGAGAGAGAGCTTGAGGGAGAGAAAGGAAGGGAGAGAGAAAGAGAGAAGGAGGGAGAGAGGAAGGAAGAGGCACATAGAGATGGAAAGACAAAGATAGAGAGGGAGGGAGAGAGAGGCAGAGAAAGAAGAAAGAGAGGGAGAGAGGGAGGGATGGAGAGACAAGGGAAAGAAAGGAGACAGGGAGGGAGAGAGATGGGGAGAAAAAGAGAGAGAGGAAGAGAAGGAAGGAGAGAGAGGAAGGGAGGGAAGAAAGGGAGGGGGAGAGAGAGAGGAGGAAGAGACAGAGAGAGAGATGGAGAAAGAGACAAAGAGAGAGGGAAGAGAGAGAGGGAGAAAGAATAAGAAAAAAATAATACATAAAAGAAAATAAAAGTAGGAAACAGAATTTTCTCACAATCTCTCAGGAGATCACAGATCTAAAGGAACAAATTGAAGATCAAATGACATCATCATGGAACTAAAAATAAAGTATAAACTATCAGAAACAGTAGAGATTGTTAAAAAATAAAATTTATGGCATAGAAGAAAAGCTTGAGATAAAGGAAATGTGATGACAAATATAAAGAGATGAAGTTATTTGGGGATGAGGTAATAGTTATTGAAAAAAGGATGATACAACATTAGAATAATTGTTATCTTTAAAACAGAGAACCCAACAAATGAAGCAGAATATAT